TTTTTTCTAGTTCCATCCATTTGCCTGCAAATTTCACAATATCGTTGGGGTTTTTTTTTTTTAGATTTATTTATTTATTTGTATACAGTGTTCTGCTGCATTATGCCTGCACACCAGAAGAGGGCACCAGACCTCATTATAGATGGTTGTGAGTCACCATGTGGTTGTTGGAAGTTGGACTCAGGACCCCTGGAAGAGAAACCAATGCTCTTAACCTCTGAGCCATCTCTCCAGCATGATATCATTGTTTTTAACAGCTGAGTAATACTCCATTGTGTTAATTACCACATTTTCTTTATTCATTCTTTGAGGGACATCTAGGGTTATTTCCAGTTTCTGGCTATTATAAATAAAACTGCTATGAACATAGTCAAGCAAGGGTCCTTGTGGTAGGATGGAGCATGCTTTGGGTATATGCCCAAGAGTGGTATGGCTGGGTCTTAAGGTAGATCCATTCCCAAATTTCTGAAGAACCACCATGTTGATTTCCATAGTGACTGTATAAGTTTGCACTCCCACCAGTAATAAAGGAGTGATTTCCCTGCTCCATATCCTCGCCAGCATGAGCTATCTCTTGTGTTTTTTATTTTAGCCATCTGACAGGTGTAAGATGGAATCTCAGTAGTTTTGATTTGTATTTCCCTGACGGTTAAGCTTTTTTTTGTTTTGTTTTGTTTTGTTTCTCTGTGGCTTTGGAGCCTGTCCTGGAACTAACTCTGTAAACCAGGCTGGTCTCGAACTCGCCTGCCTCTGCCTCCCGAGTGCTGGGATTAAAGGCGTGCGCCACCATCTCCCTGCACGGTTAAGCTTTGTTTCTCATCCATTTGAGATCCTTCTGTTGAGAACTCAGGTGAGCTGTTAAATTGCTAGTATGAGATTGCTCTAGTTTCTTTATGTAGGCACTTAGTGTGCTATGAACTTTCCTCTCAGCACCACTTCCATTGCCGTAAGTTTGGGTATGTTGTGTGTTAGTTTTCATTGAATTCTAGGAAGTCTTTAATTTCTTTTCTTTCCCTCCTTCCCTCCTTCCCTCCCTCCCTCCCTGTCTCTCTCTCTATATTTCTTTCTTCCTTGACCCAGTAGTCATTCAGTAGAAAGTTGTTCAGTTTCCATGATTTGTGGGCTTCCTGTTTTTGTGGTTGTTAGAATATAGCTTTACTCTATGGTGGTCTAACGGGATGCAGGAAGATATTTCAGTTTTCTTGTATCTGTTGAAACTTGCTTTGTGACCAAATATGTGGTCAATTTTGGAGAATGTTCCATGGAGTGATGAGAAGGTGTGTTCTTTTGTATTTGGGTGACATGTTCTGTAGAGTCTGGTAGGCCCATTTGGTTCATAACTTCTGTTAGCTCCATTATTTTTCTGTTTAGTTTTTGTCTGGATGACCTGTTCATTGGTGAGAATGGGGTGTTGAAGTCTCCCATTCTCAATGTGTCATTTAAACTTTAGTGGTGTTTTCTTTACAAATGTGGGTGCCCTTGCATTTGGGGCACAGATGTTAAGAATTGAAAGATCATTTTGGTAGATTTTTCCTTCCCCGTCTCTTTTAATTTTGGTTTGAAGTCCATTTTGTTAGATATTAGAATGACTAAACCAACTTGCTTCCATCTGCGTGGAAAATATTTTTCTAACCCTTTCCTCTGAGGTAATTTGTTGTGGAATAGCTGCTTGTTTGGTTCTCAGCTGCCTAAACTCCCAAAATTAACCCATTTCCATTATTTTATATTTTACCACGAGGCTTGTGGTCTACCAGCAAGGTTTTAGCATATGTGTCTCTGGTGGCAGCTCCATGGCTTCTCCCTTACTCTGCCTCCTTTATCCAGCATTCAGTTTAGTTTTCCCCACCTAGCTCTGCTCTATCCTATCTCAGACCCAAAACAGCTTCTTTATTAACCAATGGTATTCACAGCATACGAGGGGAATCCACATCAGTAATGTCTATCTTTGATGTCGAGTTGTGTTTCTTGTATGCAAGATGGATCCTGTTTTCACATCCATTCTGTTATTCTATGTCTTTTTATTGGGGAATTGTGTAGGGGTTTATTGTTTGTGTTTTAATAAAGCTTGCCTAAAGATCAGAGGGCAAAGCAGCCATACAGGCCAGGGAGTGGTGACTCAGGAGACAGAAGCAGATGGATCTCTATGAGTTCAAGACTACCCTGCACTATACAAAATGGATCCAGAAACAGATCCAGGTGGTGGTGGGTTCACACCTTTTAATCCCAGTGTTCAGAAGTCACACACTCCCAGCACTAAGGAGCAGGAATGACATGGCTGGGCGCAGAGAGGAATAGAAACAGGGAGAGATAAGAACTCAGTGTAGTGTGGAGTCTGAGGATTCATGGAGACAGGCTGACAACCTTTCAGTCTGAAGATCTGGTAGAGGTAAGAGGTCTCTCTAGTAGTTGGCTGCTTTGCTCTTCTGATCTTCAACATGAACCCCAATATTTGTCTCTGGGTTTTATTTTTGTGCTACAGAATTGAGTTCATTGATACTGAGAGATATCAATAATCAATGATGATTGTTAATTTCTGTTATTTCGTTGATAGTGGGATGGTGGTGTTTGTGTGTATGTGTGTGTGTCTGTATGTGTGTGTGTGTCTGTGGGTGTGTGTGTCTGTGTGTGCACATGAGCACGTACGCTTCCCTTCTTTTGGTGTTGTAGGAAAATGCTTGTTTGTTCCTGGCTGCCCAGACTCCCGAAATAATCACTCAGAAACTGGATTAATTAGATCACTGCTTGGCCTTTTAGCTCTAGCTTCTTATTGAATAGCTCTTACATCTTAATTTAACCCATATCTATTAACCTGTGTATTGCTAAAGTGGCTGTGGTTTACCGGCAAGTTTCATCTGGCGTCTGTCTCCGGCGGGGCTGCAAGGTTTCTCTCTGACCCCACCTTCTCTCTTCCAGCATTCAGTTCAGTTTTCCCTGCCTAGCTCTGTTCTGCCGTGCTATAGGCTCAAAGCAGTTTCTTTATTCATTAACCAATGAAAGCAACACATATACAGAAGGCCTTCCCACATCATTTTGGTTTTGCTGGTGTGAGATTATTTATTTCCTGAGTTTTCATGGGTGTGGGTAACCTCCTTGGGCCCAGGTTTTCCTTCTAGTACCTTATGTAGAGCTGGATTTGTGAATAGATATTGTTTAAATTTGACTGTATCATAGAATGTCTTGTTCTCTTCATCTGTGGTGACTGGAAGTTTTTCTGGGTATAGTAGTTTGGGCTGGTATCTGTAGTCTCTTACAGTCTGCAGGACATCTGCCCAGGCCCTTCTAGCTCTTAGAGTCTCCATTGAGAAGTCAGGATAATACTAATAGGTTTGCCTTTATATGTTACTTGGCCTTTTTCCCTTGCAGATTTTAATACTCTTTCTTTGTTCTGTATGTTTAGTGTTTTGATGATTATGTAGCAAGGGGAATTTTCTTTTCTGGTCCAATTGATTTGGTGTTCTGTAAGCTTCTTGTACTTTTATAGGCATGTCCTTCTTTTTTTTAATTTATTATGTATACAGTGTTCTGTCTGCATGTATGCCTACAGGCCAGAAGAGAGCACCAGATCTCATTATAGATGGTTGTGAGCCACCATGTGGTTGCTGGGAATTGAACTCAGGACCTCTGGAAGAGCAGTCAGTGCTCTTAACCTCTGAGCCATCTCTCCAGCCCAAGGCATGTCCTTCTTTAGGAAAATTTTCTTCTATGATTTTATTAAAAGTATTTTTTTGGCCTTTGAGCTGGAATTTTTCTCCTTCTATTCCTACTATTCTTGGGCTTAGTCTTTTCATAGTGTCCCAGATTTCCTGGAATTTTTATGTCAGGATTTTTTTAGATTTAGCATTTTATTTGATTGATGATTATATTTTTTCTATCGTTATCTTCAATGCCTGAGCTCTCTCTTCCATCTCTTTTATTCTGTTGCTGGTGTTTGCTGTGGTGATGATGTCTGTAATTCTTCTTCACTTACCTAGATTTTCTATTTCCAGAATTCCCTGTTTGTATTTTCTTTATTGCTTCTATTTCCAGTTTCATGTCTTAAACAGTTTTATTTGTTTCCTTCAACTGTTTTTTTCTTGAATATCTTGAAGGGATTTATTCATTTCCTCTAATTTTTTGGTTTTCCCTCGATTTTTAAAGAGATTTATTAATTTCTTCTTTAAGGACTTTTGTCATCTTCATAAAGCTGTTTTTTGTTTTGTTTTGTTTTGGGGTTTGGGGTAGTTCAAGACAGGGTTTCTCTGTAGCTTTGGAGCCTGTCCTGGTACTCAGCCTCGAACCCACAGAGATTCACCTGCCTCTACCTCCCGAGTGCTGGGATTAAAGCATGTACCACCACCACTTGGCCATAAAGTTGGTTTTACTGTTGTTTCCTTGTGCTTTAACTGTGTTGGAACACTCAGGGCTTGCTGTAGTAGGATAACAGGGCTCTGGTGGTGGCATAATGCCCTGGCTGTTGTTAATTGTGTTCTTATACTGGCATCTAGGCATCTGGGTTTGGGGTGATCATAGGTCTAGGTACCAATTTCTGAGTTTGCCTTTGTTGGATGGGTGTTTTGTTCCCTTGATTTCTGTTTCCTCTCTGGTCTTCTGGCTGGAGTGGCCTGTAGTTGAGTAGGTCAATCTCCATCCAAGTTGGGGGCATGACTTCTGATGGCTGCGGTGGCCTCTGGTCGAGTAGGGATTTTCCACCTGAATTGGGGCTGAAGTTCTGGCAGCCATTGTGTCCTTTGGTCCAGCTGAGGGTCCTCTGGAGATCAGGATATGTTAACAAGGAGGGGAGGACTAATTCTGGGTGGGCTGGGCAGGCACTGAGAAAGTAGAGGGGGCACTTGCCTGGGGTTCTGGCTGACAGCTTGGCCTCTGGTGGAGCAGGTGCTGCCACTGGAGTTTTGGGCTGGGATATCCTGAATATTTACTCTTATAGGAAGAAATGCCTATTTAACTTATTTGTGCTGTTGAGTTTACATATGTGGGGTTACAGGCTGTGTTTATTGTTACAGGTTGATGAAAATCCTCGAAGTTTGATGACAGGCTGTCTGATTATAAAGCGTTTTTTACGAAAAATCATCATAGTTCATCACAAGGTGAAGTTATATATTCTTTAAATAGTATCAATTTATCTGTAGTTTCTTTAAATCAAAAACAAAACAAGAAACTCACTGAGTAGCCCTGGCTGGTCTAGATTTTGCTATAGAGACCAGGCTGGCCTAGAACTCAAAGGTCTGCCTGCTTTTGCCTCCTGAATATGGGATCAGAGGTGTGCACCCCATGCCAGGCTCACCTTGGTTTAATTTTGGTTGATCATGAGCTTGAGATTTTCTAGTTTAGAGGAACATATATATATATATATATTTTTTTAGATAAGACCTAATGATTCTCTAAATTGCATAGCCATCTGTTGTAGTGGTTCCTTTTTTATCTCTAGTCTTATTCATTTGAGTCTTTTCTGTTGGTTAGTTTGGCTAGGACTTTACATCTTGTTTATCTTCTCAAAATTCTAACTATGTATATTTTTTGATTTTCATGTAGTTAATATCTGCCCTGATTATAAGTGACTTCTTTCCTTCTGCTGACTTGGGACTTGTTCTTTGTCTGTTAAGTCACTTGAGATCATTCTATTTCTTACTGTAGTCGCGTGGAGCGTTAAGCTTCTCTGAGGACTGCAGTCCCACTCACCTCAGTATGATGTGTTCATTTTCATTTGTCTCGAGGAATGTCTTTATTTCCTTATTGTAAGGCCACTCATCATTCAGTAGTGTGTTGTTTGCTCTCCATGAGTCTATATGTGTTCTAGGGTTTTCCCTGTTGTAGGGGTGTAGTGTTAGTCCATTGCGATCAGATAGAACACAAGGAATTAGCTCAGTTTTCCTGTATTTAAGACTTTGTGTCCTAACCTGTGTTGTTGTTTAGAGAAAGTTTCTGCAATTTGGGGAATTGAATATTCTGTAGATCTCTGTTAAGTCCATTATCTATGATGTTATTTGGTTCAGATTATCTATTCTTTTGTTTAGATTGCCTATCTATTGGTAAGAATATTGAAGGTACCCACTACTATTAATCTGTGATTTTACATCTAGTTACATTTTGTTTTATGAAATCGTGTGCACCTGTATTTGGAGCATATAAGTTTAAAATGTTATATTCTCTTGGCAGATTGTTTTCCTTAATCAGTGACCTCGTGTGTTTTTTCTCACTAACTTTTGTTTGAAATCTGTTTGGTCAGTTATTAGAAGGGTAACACCTGCCTGTTTCCTAGGTGCATTTACTTGGAACACCTGACTTTCAACTTAAGGGTGAAGTTGCTGTTTTTTGAGATGAAGTTTGTGGAGCCAACAAACAAATGATTCCTAGTTATTGGTCCAATCTACTAGTTTTTTTCCTTTTGGGGGGAAATTGAGACCATTAATATTCAGAGTTACTAATGAGAGGTATGTATTCCTATCATTTTATTGATTTTGTAGTACTTGTTTTTCCTATTCTTCTCTTGCTTAACTATTACTCTGATGTGGTTTATTTGTGTGTCTGTCTGTCTGATGGTATTTTCACTTACTTATCTTTGTCCTTATTGAATTGGTCCAGTTTCTCCACTTTGTCTTCAAGCACAGACTTTGTTCTCTCCATGACCTATTATATTGAAGAGACTTTCCATAGTTCTTTTATTTAACTTACTATGTTTTTTTCCTAGTGTTTCCACTTGTTTTTCTTGAGTATGTCTTTTTGTGGGTTCCCTCTTTTATATCATACATTGCCTTCCTGATTTCATTCATCTGTTTGTGTCTTTGAGCCCTTATAGTCATTCTTTGGAGTTCTGTGTAGGAACTCATCTACCTCACTTTCCTTAGATGGAATTTTATAGGATTAGTAATTTTGGAGGTGTTATCATGTCTTAGTCATTTCTACTTACTTTGCTACTGCATTAGGATTTATCATCTGGTGTTATTTCATTGCTTGTTTTTATTTTTAATCAGCTACATTGCTTCAGTTGAAGTGTTCACAATTTTCAAGTAGGACTCTGATATGATAGAGTTCAATATATACTTCAGAGAATAATACCTCAGTCCAGGAGCTGGCGTAAGTTCTGTATTCTTAGGATTTTAACTAGAAGAGCAACCACAGCTCAGCTGTTTTATATTGCTATGCAAATGCCATTCTAGCCAATTAACAACAGTATTCCCTTACTTCATAATTTCTAGAGATAAACAACCAAGAATGGTATGGAAACCTACTCAGATTTTAGTAAGATGATGAGTTGGGAGCAAGAGAGATGGTTCCGTGGTTAAGCACACATTGTCTTCCTTCCCACTTCTGATGTTCTGTAAAACAAAGAGCAGTATGTGCTTTTGCAAGAGGACCTGAGTTCAGTTCCTAGCGCTCATATCAGGTGGCTCATAACTATTTGTAACTCTAGCTCCAGGGGATCTGACACCCTCTCTGGCCTCTGGTGGCACCGCACCAAAATGAATATATACAGATAATTAAAAAATTTTAAAGTCGATTTGCAAAAGAGTAGAAGTGGGAGAGAAGGAGAGTGGGTAAGGATAAGAAGTAGGGATGAGATTTTGAAAATAACTGATGTAGATAAAGTAGCTGGGAGGGGGAAGTTGGAATTTTTATATCTGGAAGATTACAGTTAAGATGTACAAGGAAAGGGTGAGGATGAGAGGAAAAGGAAGAAATGGCGTGGGATGTGGTTGGAGGGAGCATAAGAGATGCAGGTGAACAGTAAGGTATGTCCTGGAGCAAGCTGGGTGAGAAGCATAAACAATCCTAAAACCAAACTGAACAATACAAACAAAAGCAAAACAGTCCCAAGATATACATGCAAGAGTAAGAAACAGCAGTAAAAAGTAAGAGTCTTTGTGGAGCGAATTACTTGCACAGCTTTGCTGAGTTGAAAAGGAAGCACTCGTAAGTCCTCTGACTCCAGCAGGTTCTGTGTGGTGCTGTGAGGGCCAGGGTGAGGGGCATTGGTTTCTGAGCCTCAGTGTTAGCAGGGGGGTCTGGTCTGTGCAGGAGGGGAGGTTTTAAATCCTTTTCTGGTGGTTCCATGGGATCTCTGCACTCCACTGAGGCCTTTTCTGGTCCTGCAGGTTGGGGTGTGAGCAGCAACACTTCTCTGGTAGTTTCTACTGCTCTCTGTGTGGACATTTTTTAATCTCAACCTCGACTAGAATGAAATCTTACCGTTCGTTTATTGTTTTGCAGCTCAAGTTTAATTTCAGTTTGACGGTGAATGGGATCCTCTCTGCAGAGATCTTTGGGTCTGTAAACGATTTTATGGCTCTGAATGACTTTTAAGCATGATTGCCCTGTGCTTCTAGCAAGTTTACAGATTTGATTTCTTAGTCCAGAATCTCTTTGAAACTAATCCTGAGACCCTCACATATTAGTTTTTAGCAGATAAATATGTTCGTCCCTTATATGTTTCTCCCTTTCACTGGGGGAATGAGCATAAAAGTTGTGGTTTTCCTTTTGGGTTTTGTTTGCTGAATTCCAGCGATTTCTGGGTGGTAATGTCATGAGCCAACTAGAGACTAATTTGAAAGATGACTTTTCTTTGTTTTGTTTTGCAGGGCAGAGAACGAGCCTATTTTGAGACTGTCCAATGGCATCACTCTTGTTGTGGGCTTTCAGCATTATGTGAGGTAGAAGCTAGAAATGATCTCCATGCCTTTTCTTTTCTTCTCTCTCCTCCTCTCCTGCAATTCCCCTCCTCTTCTCTCTTCTTTGCTTGTATTTCTTTTGTTTAGAAGAGAACTGTGGGGGAAAACAAATCCACCGCCTTCTTTGTTGAAGAGGATGAGAGTTTAATTTTTCTCATTGTTCTGACTTAACAGTGACCTCAAGCCTACGCAGAGGAAAGTATAGTGTGCACAGAAGCAGACTCTCAGGTGTCACGGGGTCAGTTTTAGACCATTTGCTCACAGTCATCACACACAAGGCTGGTCTTTGAATGTTTGGAAACATACTCTTGGAACTGTAGAGTATAATTGTATTGGAGAAAATACAATTTGAGAATAAGCAACTATCATGAGAGACAACATAAACAGAAGCCATGATAATAGTCTTTGCAATGCTAATTTTTCTGATCTTATGCAGATAAGATGACATGGCAGGTCATAGGGCTATGTGTATCCTGAGCAGTTAAAGAATTTTAAATGCCCATTAAATAATTTCTTGAAGAAAAAAGTCAAATTTGTCTTGTATGTTTTTTAATAGTAAGCCAAAACTGAATTCAACTGAATCGCACTGCAGCAGAATCCACCCTGTGCTAGGACATCCAGCTCTACTGTCCATCCCTGATGGCATGTCTGACATGGGCTTGCTGGGAAAACTGGCACTGACTCCAGCTGCTGCTCTGTGCCCAAGCCCCAAGGTCTTCTCCAGCCAACGGGATAGGATTTCTTCGGTTTCAATATCCTTTTGACAGGTTCTATCCAATTTCCTTTGAAGATGAATTTTTTAATTCTAATTTTAGGCAAGTCTTAATATATGAATTATTTATCTGTAACCCTGTATGATTTGTGTAAAAGTATAACTCAGTGTGAATGTTAGGCTTGAAGTATTTGCCAAAGAATGGTAGACTACAACAGATAGTGAAAGGTAGAGATGAGACCAGGAAAATGGTTGGGATGGAGGGTGGTAAGATCTTGCATGCCTTAATAAGGACTGTGATCTGCATTTTCTATGATTGACAAGAGTAACTCATGCAGCACGTTGAGTGCTCTAGGAGAAAACGTAGTGATTACTAAATAAGTGAGTGAAGTGGAATAAGAGCTAGTAAGTCCTGAGTTAAAACTATGCGTTGAGGCAAAAGTTAACACCTGAAGAACTTCACATAAGAAAACCAGTATTCATGACTGAAGTTGGAGAGCCTGGGGTAAGGAGTTGTTGGTTTGTTTTTAAGACAGGCTCTTTTATATTCCAGGCTAAATTCAAACTTACCGTTAGATGTTCTTGGTCCTTTGCCTCCATCTCCCAAGTGCTAGGATTATAGATGTGAGCCACCTCCCCTGGTTTATCCCACGAGTAAATGTTCTATGTGCCTTGTTGAGACTGGGATGCAGGGGGTGTAAATGCTGTGTGACAGAAGCAGCTGATTTAAACAACCTAACTTGCTTCCTCAGCTTTAAAGTAAAAATGAGAACATCTCGTGGATTAATTTTCTCCTGCTGTGGTGGAGAACTATAGTCCATGAGAAGCTCCTCACACAGGGATGCACAACTTGTGACTGTGATGTCATGTGACCCAGGATAGCTATGAATGTGGCCCAGCACACAAAGTTGTAAACTTAATTAAAGCATCATGAGTTTTAAGTTTTTGTTTTTGTAACAGTGGAAATTTTGTAGATGACCACATCATGTTGCAGTACCATACAAAATAAATATGTGTGTGTGTTGTGTAGGCATGAATGACTTCAATTTTGTAGTGTATAGCTCCCCAGGTTACCTTCCATGTGCACAGTCAAACTGGGACCATTAGACATTACATGTTTTCAGTGACTAGACAAGTGGGTTGGCTCAACTATCTATCTATCTATCTATCTATCTATCTATCTATCTATCTATCTATCTATATTGAGACAAGGTTTCTCTATATAGTCCTGAAACTTACTCTTTAGATCATGCTGGTTTCCAACTCACAGAGCTCCACCTGCCTCTTCTTTCCAAGTGCTGGGGTTAAAGACATGTACCACCACCACCAGACCTGATTAGTAATAATATTTTAACTCATCACTGTAAACCATAGGTGTTTAATGTTGTTCACAAAGCAGGTAAATATTTTTGACTATTGTGGGTCTTTGCCCACCTCCTTCTGCCTCATCAGTCTCCCACTGTGCTTCATACTCAGTCCCCTGTCTCTCACTTCACCGAAGAGCCAGACACAAATCCACACACTTATGGATCCCTAATTTTTGACAAAGGTGCCAGAATTATCCAATAGAAAAAGAAAGCATTTTCAACAATGGTGCTGGTCTATCTGGATGTCAGCATGTAGGAGAGTGCAAAGTGATCCATATCTATCACCCTACACAAAACTCAAGTCCAAATGGATCAAAGACCTCAACATAAATCCAGATATACTGAACCTGTTAGAAGAGAAAGGGAGAAATAATCTTGAACACATTGGCACTGGAGACAACTTCCTGAATGGAACACCAACAGTACAGGCACTAAGATCGACAGTTAATAAATAGGACCTCATGAAACTGAAACATGTCTGGAAGACAAAGGACACTGTCTGTCGACAGGCAGCTGAAATGCAGAAAGACCCAGGCTTTGCTTTCTGTTTTTCTATCCGCTAATTTTCATGATAGAAGTAAATGCTGTCCCCTCTTTATTACCATTATTTTAATTCCAGTATGACCTCTACAGTGGCCCTAGAAAACCCCAAAATTATGGATTAAAATTGTTCAACACAAAGTAGATGACCATTTTTTTCCCCAAGGCAAATATCAGTACTGTTATATAACATGTGCAGGACAGTGTTCTAAAGAGAAAACTTAGATTGCCTTGCCAGACTGCCAGAGAAAATCTCCAGGCTGCAGAGCAGGCAGGGACACTCATCTAGAGTCTGGTGGATCTGAGCTGAGATGATTTGAGAGTCAGGCAGCTAGAACTTACAAGAAAACTGAAGAGAAATGCACGGATACAGAGCTGCAGACAGGCCGGTGCTGGCCCACACAAAGCCAGGACAGTTTCTGTCCCCATCCGGCTAAGCAGAAAAAATTCATGTTTTATGGCATCAGATTGGAGTTCAGAAATTTTTTCCTGAATAATGGGTGGATCCTTAGGGCTCACTTGCTGTTCAGTCTCATTGACAAATTTGAGGCCAGCCAGACACTGTCTCAAAACAGGGTAGATGGTATCTGAAGATGGTAGCCAAGGTTGTCCTCATGCACACACAAAATGAAGACAAGAGCTGGTCCTGATGGTTCATTCTTGTAATCCCAGAACATGGGATACAGAGTGACACCCTCCCTGCAAGAATCCCCACCGCCAAACAAAACCAATGGATTCAAGATTGAGACTTTCTCAGACATTCAGAAGAGTCAGGAATTCACTCACAAGCAGTATTAGAAAAATGCTTAAGGAAATCCTTTAAATTTTGTATTTTTTTAAGCCTGTCCTGAAACTCACTCTGTAGACTAGGCTGGCCTGGAACTCACACAGATCTACCTGCCTCTGCCTCCAAAGTGCTGAAATTAAAGGCGTGCACCACCACTGCCAGGCAAAGTTTGTATTCTTTAGCCATGTAGTGGTGACATGCACACCTTTGATCCCAGCACTCAAGAAGCAGAGGCAGGCAGATCTGTGTGAGTTCCAGGCCAGGCTGGTCTACAGAGTGAGTTCCAGGATAGCATGCACTACAGAGAGAAACCCTGTCTCAAAAATAAAAAAGTATTCTTTGACAGTTTCATGCATGTATATCTTGATCTACCTCCAAATCTTACTTGACAACAATAACATGGGCCAATCAGGAAGAAATGCAAGTGTATTATTAGATTCTTCTATATTTGTCAACTGTTGAATCCTGATAAAATTTTAAAGGCTGAACCAGTGAGTCATGACTAATATGTCAAAACAGAGATAGAATACTGAATCCAAAATAGAATCCAAAAATATTAAAGAGAACAAATGGAAACCACATAACGAGCAGATAGATTAAGTCCAACCATGGCTGTATTCATATTAGATGTGAATGGTTTGGAATGTCCAGTTAAGGGCTGGTAATACAGTTCAGTCAGTAGACTGCTTGACTAGAGTGCTCAAAGCCTTTCATGTGGACTCCAGTACCGTATAAACTGGCTATAGCGGAATACACCTGTAATCTCAGTGCTCAGGTATTGAATACAGGATCAAAAGTTCAAGGTCATCCTTAGCTACATAGTTTGAGGCCAGGCTAGGCTACATGAAACCCTGTCTCAAACAAGGATGAGACTGAAGAGACGGCTTAGTGGTTAAGAACACTAGCAGCTCTTCCAGAGGAACTGGGTTCAATTTCCAGCTCCCACATAGCAGTTCACAACTGTGTGTAACTCCAGCTCCAGGGGAACCAATGCCCTCTTCTGGCCTTTACAGGCACTGCACGCATGCTATACATGCAGACAAAACACCCACACCAAAAAAATAAATAAATAAAAATGATTTTTAAAAATAAAACACTAGCTGGGTGGTGATGGCACTTAGCTTAATCCCAGCACTCAGAAGGCAGAAGCAGGTGGATCTCTGAGTTCAAGGCCACCTAGTCTACCGATTGAATTCCATGACAGCCAGGGCTATGCAGAAAAAATATCAAATCATAAGGCAACCATATATTTGGACTCCAGACACTCTATTTTTTATTCTTCACATTGTATGTGAAGTAATTTAAAGATCCTCTGACCCTGAGCAGTGAGTGTAGTGGCTTTAGTTCCTATGCTAATGCCTGCTGATATCTGTGAGAGAGGCTTTGAGAGTTCATTCTCCCTTTGTTCTTTCTAAAACATTTCATTCTGTAGCATATAGACATGCCCTTGCCCACCAAGGAACGTCAAGTGCTGATACATATCAAGAAACCACATTCAGGGGGCCGGAGAGATGGCTCAGTGGTTAAGAGCATTGCCTGCTCTTCCAAAGGTCCTGAGTTCAATTCCCAGCAACCACATGGTGGCTCACAACCATCTGTAAAGAGGTCTGGTGCCCTCTTCTGGCCTTCAGACATACAGACAGAATATTGTATACTAAATAAATAAATATTAAAAAAAAAAAAAAGAAAGAAAGAAACCACATTCAGGGCAGGAGCATAAGAAAGCAAGAGTCCAGAGGGGAGAGATTATTTCAAGGCCTTTGTCTTGGTTGAAGAATAGGGTTGGGCCAGCAGTGGTGGTCTATGCCTTTAATCCCAGCACTTGGGAGCAGAGGCAGATGAATCTCTGTGAGTTTGAGGCCAACCTGGAGTACAGAGTGAGTACCAGGTCAGGCTCCAAAGCTACACAGAGGGGGGAAAAAAAGAATAGGGTTGTATAAAGCGACAAGTTTCTCTCAATCCAAATACACTCAATTACTTTCTAGAAAACACTCCTTTGTATGCAGTTCTATAGGTTTTTTGTGTGTACTGCACTAAAATATGGAAAACTTGAGTACAGATACTAGTTACTCATCTCCATACCTCTAGAACCTAGCACTGTGTTTAGCTTGTGATGCCACTCACATTTATGATCAGATGAATAAGATGAATCAATAAATTGTCATTCCGTTACCCTCTGCAAAAATCTGAGGATCCTGGTAGAGTTCCCGGGCATCATACCCGTCTGTAATTTGGAAAAAGACAAACATGTAATTGATAGCATATGTGCATATTCCTCTGGTGTGAACCAGGCCAGTATGTAAGTTTGTTTTATATGAGTATGTAGTTGTAAGAAAATTTTGACAGTTTTCTTTAGCTGCTATACATATTTCTATACGGGCCTTTGGGTCTGCCTCTGATATCAGACCAGGAGCAGCTAAGTATCACTGTCTTCAGAGACACCTCCTACTTCATTGACTGGAAGAAACACAATTTGTTTATGGTGCCCACTTTGGATCTCAATTTGGATACAGGTATGTTTCTATATTTTGTACTAAAATATAGAAACACAAGGAATTAGAGAAATAAATATATAAGCAAATGTCTGTGAAAATAGGACCTAGTAATACACTGGCTTAACAAGAGAATGGGATCTGACCACATTTGAGAGTCCACTTAGAACAAGGCAGAGTTCTAAGTGTCCCACACAAACTCAGTGAGGCCCTGCTTTGGCACAGAGTCTGACACTTTTCTCTCACTTCCGCTGGTGCCTCTCTATCTCATGCTTTTCCCAGGACCTTTCTTGGAAGGCTTTGGTCACACTCTCATTTGTAAGTTTGGGAGCTTCAGAACAATGGATGAGGGAACAACAACCCTTCTGTACGTGGAAGAGAAATGATTCCTACTGACATGAGTGTTAGTACACAGAAAACTACTTGAAGAAATTAAATGCAACACAAATGCCAGCTACAAGAGCATTAAACATAGAAAGCTGGCCATGGTACTCCTATGGGGTCTAACCATGTTAATTTGGGGTGAGTTGTGCTAAACGATGAAAGGTTGGCACCAGTGAGATGGCTCAGTAGGTAAAGGTACCTGATCCAAGCCCTGATGGCCTGAGTTTTCTCCCTGGGACCACAAGGTTAGAAGGGGAGCTCTAGCTTGCATGTTGTCCTCTGACTTCCACACATGCACCATGGCATATGGATATGCAAACACATACACATAAGTCAATTAGCATACTTATTAAATTGAATGGATCAATAAATACAATTGGGGAGTAGGGCTGCAACCATGGCAACGGTCTTGGAGGTTTATGGTTCTGAGCTTGTCTATTTGATGGCCAGCAGAGAAAAGGATGTTCTAGGATTTTCGCTAGCATGAAAAGATTGCTGCATCTTGGGATAAGGCAGCATCTTGAAGGTATCTAAGACATCCGCCTCCACAGAAGGGTCTTTGTTCTTGAGAGGACAGTTCTCCAGAAGACGGTATGAGAGGAAGCATCCTAGGACAGTCTCTGGAGTAAGCTGTTTTGAGAGGAAATGATTTGCAGTCTTACCAGGTGGGATGTCATGGGTCTTGACTGGAAGGAAGGCCTAACTGGATTTCTGGGATCTTATTTTATAAAAACAATTGAGATTTGATCTCATTGTAGCCTATACTTGATTGAACCCAGAGTTTTACGTATGCTAGGCAGCACTCTGCCAACTGAGCTACAGCCCTAGCCCTCGTTATCTCTGCCACTTTCATTTTTATTCTTAGACTTTATTGGTTTCCATTGTTTCTACAATTTATGGTGTCAACTTTGGTCAGTTAACTTTGTAAATGAATAATACAGGAAAACACCCTAATTTCTCACATTCATTTCTTCTTTACCTTTTGAGACAGAGTCACACACTGCCGAGATGTGTGACCTAGGCTTGCTGTAATCAGCTTGCTGTAATCCTCCTTGTACTAGAATTTGGTTTCCCAAGTACCAAGATTACAGGAGCATGCTGCCACACCATGCTCTCCTTTAGTTTTTAAAGGACAGAACTAGGATCCACAGGGAGACACCCTTCCTTGTGGATATGGGTGTGGAACTACCGTTATGGAATTTTAAAGGGTGCATCTAGCATTAAGAACACAGATTTGAAGTTGATCTGTCAAGGTGGACAACTCAGTTCTGCCATTCACAAGCTCATACTGGACAAGGCATTTTGCCAGACTGTGCCTTTTTTCTTACTTGTAAAACGTTGTAACAATAGGTCTTCCTCAAGAGCGTTATGAAGTCTAAATCTTGAGAAAGGACATACAAGGAATTTAGCATGGCACCTGGCTTATAGTACGTTACCTGGAACATTATTACTCAAATTGAAATTTGACCTCTGCCTCTTTGTAGCCAGACCTACCTTAGAAGGTTTACAGGAATGGGCTTGAGAGACAGCTCGTGGTAGAGAGTATTTGCTGCTCTTGCGGAGGACCTGGGTTCAGTCCTCAGCACTCACACGGTAGCTCACACCTGTCTGTTACTCCCGTTCCAGAGGATCTGACAGCCTCTTCTCATCTCCACAGGCACTGTACACATGTGGTACATATACGCAAATACAAGCAGAACACTGACACATAAAATAAATATTAAAAAAAAATATTTGGGCTAGAGAGATGGCTCAGTAGTTAAGAGCACTGGCTGTTCTTCCAGATGGCCCAGGTTCGATTCCCAGCACCCACATGGCACAGCAAAACTGTCTGTAACTCCATTTCTAGGGGATGCTTGTTAAATAACTTATTTAAGGAAGGTCCACAAGATGTCCAGGTGTGGTGACCACGCCTTTAATCTTAGCACATTGGAGGCAGAGTAGGTGAATTATCTGAGTTCAAAACCAGCCTGTGTAGTATCCGAGCTACTACTAGTATCACGGTCCTGTAGTACCTGTACTACAGTACTACGCCTGTAGTGTACCGCCTGCACTACAGGTTGGTTCGTGAGCCAGGCAAGGGCCTGGAGATTGACACACATACACACAGAGACAGAGAAATGGGTCATCCTTGAATTCCCCAAGAATGCCCCCTTTATTGTGTTCCAGAGCAGCTTATATAGGGATCCTTAACTGATAGCCAAGCCCGGGCCAAACCCCCCAGAAACCACTCCCCAGCCATCAGGAACTCCTTAGGGTCTTGTGCTCAGAGCAGGTGCAAACACAGGAAAACAAGTTGTTTTGATCAGAGCAGCTGCAAGCATAACAAGTTGTTTACAGGAAATTCAGGGTCTGGGGGTCCACAGCCCCCAACCAGCCTGGTTTACATATCAAGTTTCAGGCCCAACAGCAATATATAGTGAGAGCCTTTCTCAAAAGGAAAAAAAAAATGTTACACAAGAAATAAATGAATTGGAGGCGGTGGCGGGAAGGAGACAGAAATCTTCACTAAATAAATAAATAATAAAAAAATAAAAGACAGGACAGGCTCCAAAGCCACAGAGAAACCCTGTCTCGAAATACCAATAAATAAATAAATAAATATTTAACAAAAAATAAAATAAAATAAATTATAAAAAAAAAAGAAATGAATTTTTGTGTAATGCTTCCATAGTAAATGCACAAGGCTGCTATTTCCTTTTTACTTTACATAGCTGGCTATTTTAATGTTCTTCATGTAAGTCATTATTATTTTGTTTCCATAATGTGGGTGGAGGAGCAGATTCGGGAGTGGAACTGACTGTTTGAATGTAGACCTAGTAGTCCCTTCTCAGTCACGACATGGTTCTGTGTCACTCAGGGTATAAGGGGCTTGTTTACCTTATAAATTCTCCTGTTATCTTTCTCTTTAGATTTGGTGATTCCCGATGTGAGTTATCAAGTGGAGCCCAGTGAGGGGAATCAGTCTCAGGATGTGGACTCAGCGGGACCAGCTCTGCTACTCTTTCTATTTGTAGATTTCCACAGTGGATTCCCAGTCCAGCAAGCAGAAGTCTGGGGTATGTTTGGGAAAATACAGCAGCCAGGTTGGGTGTGCCAAGTGCTAAGTGGATAAAGAAAGGACTATATGAATAATGCATATATCTGTCTAAATTAGATAGTTGTGTAATATGTAAAGAATTATCACTGCCTTTCTAGATGAAATCAAGGGAGGAAGCCTCTCTCTGTGCAGGTGCAGTTAGGAGTGCTTTGGTGTGTGTCCATCAGGTGCAGAGTAACCTGTTATGAGAAAGGTTCTCCTCCTCCTGGGTAACATGGTGGCTTTAGCTTGTGGAACACAAAACATAAATACCTGAATCACCTAGGCTATTTGAAGATGTACAACTTCCTGGGTCAAGTTAATTTATTATTTTTGCTATATATTGTAGAAATCTAGAATGATTGAAATATACATTTCTGTCACTTGATTCTCAAGTGATCCTCAGATGTAATGAAATTTGGACCCCTTTTGAGTGTTTTAATCAATGAACCCTAGGAAGTAAGTTTTAAGAGTTGATAACACATTCCTAAACTGAGGAAATGTTGACCCATCCTCATCACCAGCGAACAGAACCTATCTGAAAAAAAAAATGCAGCTACCAAGAAATTGTACTTAACTCTGTTCTTTTGTGCCTAGAATTCCTTTCTAAGCTCTCAGGTTTTATGTGGATGTAGTCGGCCCCATGTTGGGTGCCGTTCTGATGACAGAGGCTGCCTGTTTGTTTCCCAGCCACCCAGACCCAAATAATCACACATAAAACTGTATTAATTACAACTCTGCTTGACCAATAGCTTAAGGGTATTTCTAGCTAGCTTTTACATCTTAAATTAACCCATTTCTAATAATCTGTGTATCATCACGTGGTTGTAGCCTACCAATAAGGTTCAATCTGGCATCCAGCATCTGTCTCCTGCAGCAGCTACATGGCATCTCCCTGACTCTACCTTCTTTTCTCCTCTATCTGCTTGGAATTCCTGCCTTGCTGGTAGGCCAATGCAGCTTCTTTATTAACCAATAGAATAAAACATTCACCAGCATACAGAAGAGAATCCCACATCAAGGAAAGTTACAAGAAATGGCACCTAGACTTACTTCAGGAAAAAAATCTATAAGCCTCCTTTTGGGTGCTCCTTTCTCCATGAGCTATGGAGGCTCCACCTTCACGTGTTCTTCATAGTATGGTGTTGGTTCCCCATGCACCACAGGTGAAACAAGACTGCCTATAACCCAGATCAGAAGCTCTCAGTGACTGGTGCCAGATTTCATGGCTGTCAAATATGAGATTAATTCTTCCTGTTACCTGCCTACCTTCCAAACATCTTCCTCCCTTCCTGGTGTGTGCATACCCAGAGGAGGAAGTATTGCTTTCCTGGGATCAAACTGTCAACTCAGAAGCCAATGTTCTTTGGTGCCCCTGCTTCATTGATTAAGGCCAAGAGAATGAAAAAGAAAAGAGACTCAATGTAGCATGAATAATAAAAACCCAGAGACAGATAGTGGGGTCCAAGCTGAAGAGCAGAAAAGCAAAGTGCTACCTCAGACTGAAGTCCTGCCTCCACAAATCCTCAGACTGGGACAAAACTGAAACCTGTCTCCTCCCATCTTATATCGTTTTCCAGTGCTGTGATTAAAGGTGTGTGCCACCACTGCCTGGTCTGCATGGCTGACTAGTGTAGCTGCTTTGCACTCTGATCTTCAGGCCAGCTTTATTTATTAAAACACAAATAATATGCCACTATAACTCAGGGTTATGAAGTTCAAGATAGGGATTTTGGTGAGGATTCTAGGGCATGCACCCATAGACAAACTGAGAAGCGGAGCCGTGGAAAGGACTTGGGGTAGAAGTCAAACAGCTTTCCTTTGTGCTGATTCCAGCTTCCTTCGTGATGTTTAAAAATCAAGTCACAGAAACCATCTGAGCCTCCCTTCCCAATCTCTAACACGAACTATTAAACTAGGCAATATCAAAGGCCCTTCAGAGGCTCAATGCCCACCTGAGACCTAAGATCTGTTACTTCCTGGCATTTTTAAAATGCTTGCCAGAGGATAGTTTGAGTCTGACACCATGTTCTAAGTCCTATTTAACATATCCAAAGAACTCAGGTGTCCTAAAAACAGTTTGTACTGAACCAGAACAGTCTATATGCCTCTGGTTAGCATGTCTCCACAGGCCTGCAACTTCTCAGTAGTTATACTCAGTTTTAGATTTAAAAATTCACTGCTGCTGGGAAGTGGTAGCACACACCTTTAATGCCAGCACTAGGAGGCAGAGGCAGGTGGATCTCTGTGAGTTCAACGCTTGGTCTAGAGAGCTAGTTCCAGGACAGCCAGGGCTACACAGAGAAACCCTGTCTCAAAACAACAAGAACAAAAAAAAAAAAAAAAAAAAAAAAAAAAAAAAAAAAAAAAAAAAAAAAAAAACAACACACAAACAAAAAAAAAAAACAAATATTCACTGCTAAAAAAAACAATAAAATAAATAAAAATCCAGGTGTGGTAGCACATGCTTTTTTAATTTTTATTTATTCATCTATCTATATATCTATTTATTTTTGAGAAAGGGTTTCTGTCTGTAGCCCTGGAACTGACTCTGTAGACCAGACTAGCCTCAAACTCAGAGATCTGCCTGTCTCTGCTCCCCCCACCTCCCAGTGTTGGAACTAAAGGTGTGCAACACCACCACTCACCGCGTGACATGTTTTTAAACCAGGCGGGTAGATCACTGTGAGTTTGAAGGCATCCTGTCTACATAGTCAGTTCCAGGCTAGCCTGAACTGAATAGTGAAATCCTGTCTCAAAACAAAAATCACTGCCAGGTCTGAAGAGATAGATCTGTGGTTAAGAGCAAGCACTGTTCTTGCAGAGGACCGGAGTCTGGTTCCCAGCACCTATGTACAGTGTCTTACAACTGCCTCTGTCTCAAGTTCCAGGAAGGGGTTTAACATCCTCGTCTGGCCTCTGTAGACACCTGGAGGCATGTACGTATACATACATGCATGCATATATACAGATAAACATGAAGTTTTGAATTTTAAAAAGTAATAATTTTTTTAAAACTCCTTCAAAGTAACTAAAACAAAACCCTCCTTGTTTAGGCCTCTGAAGGAGATACAACGAGGGACAGCAAGGCTAAGTTTGCCCTGTCTTTCCCCATCCTTCCTTCTCCAGAGCTCTGTGTGCTAGGAAACAGATTGTGCAGAATTAGTCTGTGTTCGTGTGTCTTTAAAAAAATCAGTCGCTGGCCTCCCGCCCACCTTGTCATGGTAACTTCTATGATTAACTCCTTATTTTGCCACAGTGCCAAAAGCATCTGGTGGTAGGAGCAGTTTTAGGAATAATTTTGTTTTGTTTTGTTTTTAATTAAATGTCTGCCTTCAAAAACTTCTCATTTCTTGGGTTCTTCTTGGGTCCAGAGTATATAAAATAGAATCTGCATGCTCCATCACCATGGCAACAGCAGTACTCCCCTTTGAACACTGCGTGTGTGTTTCAGAATACTTCATTTTACATGATCCCAGTTTATCTAGACAAACATATCTGAGAGAACACATAAGAAAAACATTTTCTGCACTGAAGTGAGAAGAGTGAAGTTACCTCATCACTAGCTGGTGATAAAAATAAAAAAAATATATAACCTCAAATCTATGATCTATGTTCTTACTTCTAGTTCCAGATTCCTTTTAAGTCCATATGTAATTTCTCTCTCTGGAGAGCATTGGGGTGCCCCATGTTAAGAAGTGTTCCAACTCTTACCTTTTAAAAATGTGTGTGTGTGTGTGTGTGTGTGTGTGTGTGTGTGTGTGTGTGTGTGATATCTATGCGTGAATTCTTCACCTAGGTGTATGTATATCTGCCACCTGGATGCTTAGCATCCTCAGATCAGGTCCCCTGGAACTAGAGTTACAGACAGTTGTGAGTCACCATGTAGGTGATGGGAATCAAACCTGGTCTCTGCAAGAGCAAGTGCCCTCACCTGCTGAGCCACCTCTCCAGCCCCACATGGCAGTTTCTGAGTGATGCTAAGCAGAGGTTACTTCATCTGAGATCACCTTCATTTTGCGTATTTTAATTAGTTTGAGACAGGAACTTGTATGTCCCCAGGCAGCCTCAAACTCACTGTATATCTGAGGATGCCCTGGAACTCCTTATCCTCCTGCCTCCATCTCCCAAGTGCTGGATTAGAAGTGTGTGGAAATCAAATCTAGGGCTATTTACATGCTAGGCAAGCACTCTACCAACCAAGCAACATCACCAGCTCTCACCCCATCTTAAACGGTCTGACATTCACAATCCCCAGGGTAATGTCAGCCTTTCCTTTAGCACAGAACATTGGAAAGAAATGCCACCCTGCAGACAACTGGAGGCTCACTTAACAGTGATGCTCAAGTAGGAATGGAAGAGGTTAGACACTCCTAAGAGGCTTCCTTTTCCTTCGGAAGGTACCACTATCATTGTTCGTAGCATGGATTAAGCATTTATTTTTTCAAAAACAATGTGACTCATTTAATTTTCCTAAGCTTGCTTTCATTTGCCAGTGGGGCTTCAGAGGAGCTTTCTCTAAAACTAGGGGTGGAGAAGTGGAAGTAGCTTCTTCGGGAGCACTACCCCAGCCCCAGCCCGACACAGAGCACGTGGACAGAAGTCCTGAAAGTGCGTCCTCACTCATGGCTCCCACCATTGTCATCCTCTTAGGACTCCACACTTTGCTCACAGCTCATCTCAGTGCCATCCTCTCGGAGAGCCGCAGCACCGTGCGAGAGTCCATCCAGTCAGCTGTGGACCAGGTCTTGGAGCGATATCACCAGGCTGCCCAGGTAATAAATTACAACCTGGGAGTGCACAGGCTCCCTCGATATGCCCTCCATTCTGCCACCTTGGTGAGGTCCCAGTGCTGCAATTGGACAGGGACTTAAGCTTTCACTTAGGCCACGCAGCCAGTTTGTGCTGGAGCTGCCACGGATGTAACAGCAACAAAACAACAGAACAGCATGGCTGCCAGACCTGTTTTTTGTTGTTGTTGTTGTTGTTGTTGTTTTTCTTCCAAGACAGGGTTTCTCCGTGTAGTCCTGGCTGTCTTAGAACTTGCTCTGTAGACTGGGCTGGCCTCAAAGTCAGAGGTCTGCCTTCCAAGTGCTAGGATTATCAGCATACACCATCATGGTCCAGCCATACCTCTTCTTATCTGTGCATCTTGATCCCACAAATTCTCTGGAGCTGATATTTCAATAAACCTTACCTCTTCCCTCATTTTCCCTGTTCTTTCATAATGTCACACTTGCTTCTGCCCAGACTGAATTCTTCCAATCTGCGTGCTTTTGGTAATACATTTCCAACTTCCTTGTAGAAAAAAAAAAAAAAACCTGTCAACTGGAGAGCAAAGCTTAAAACTAAAAACAACAAAACAACAAACATTAGAGCTGGGTCTGGTTGATTCCTTATGTGACCACAGCACTTGGAAGGTTGAGGCAGGATGACTGAAGTGTAAGGCCAGCCTGAGTTATAGAATGAGTTATGGGCAGCCTAGGCTATAGTATGAGACCCTGCCACAGAGTTAGGGGCCGAGAAATGCTCAGCTGTCAAAGCACTTGCCAAACAACCTGACCAACTGGATTTGATTGCAGGGACTCATATAAAGGTGGCGTGAGAGAACCAACTCGGCGACCCCCACGCATGCACTGTGATGTGTGCAGACCCACACTCAAACAGTAATGCATTTAAAACAAAAAATTAAATATTTGTTTTATTTATTTATTTGCTTTTTTTAAAAAAAAGATTTGTTTTTAGAGCTGGAGAGATGGCTCGGCAGTTAAGAGCATGGCTGTTCTTCCAGAGGACCTGGTTTCATTCCCAGCACCCACAAGGCAGCAACAACTGTCTCTGTAACTCCAGTTCCAGGGCATCTGTTGCCCTCTTCTGACATCTGCTGGCACCAGGCACACACATGATACACAAGTCTTCATGCAGAAACACTCAAACACATAAAATAAATAAAAGCTGGGTGTGCAGACAAACACCTTTAATCCTAAGTCTCAGGAGGTGGAGACAAGTGAATCTCGGAAGTCAAGGCCAGTCTTGTACATAAAGTGAGTTCCTAGCCAGTGAGGACACACATACAAACAATAAAATATTTTTATTATGTGCTTGTGTGTGTGGATGGAGGGCACTGAAGCTAGGTGGCTGTGAGCTGTCTGACATGGGTGCTGGGAACCAAGCCTCTGCAATAGCAGTATTTGCTCATAACTGCTGAGCCATGTCTCTAGTGCCAAATAGGTTTTACTGTTCTGTTTGTTTGGGAAACAAGGACTCTTACAGCCTAGGCTAACTCAAACTCTTACTGGAAAGTGACCTTGACCTTCTTTCTGCTCCTCCTCCTGCCTCCACTTCCTGGTCAGGGATTACAGGTGTGTGCTTCCAGACCTGTTTTATTAAAATACCTGGTTTATTCTGTGCTGGCTCAGGGTCTCGTACATGCTTGGCCAGCATTCCATCAACTGAGCCCCGTTCCCATCCCTACCCAGTGTCTTACTGTCTTTTCTTAGTGTGTTACATTATTGCGCCATCTCTGGAAGAAGAGAATGCTTTAAGGAAACAGCACCATCATCTTATTGAGTGTTGTTGGTGGAACTGCTGCTGTTCTGCCTTGCCTGGAGCCTTTCCCCTTTGGCATTCTAGAGCCAGTGCTTTGGGACTAATATGATTTCCTCCTTACTCCAGGCTCATCAGAGACTGCAGGGCTCCCTCTCTGTGGCTGTGAATGCCATCACGAGTGTGCTGACTGGAAGCACCTGCAGCAGCTTCAGGAACACATGCCTCCAGGCTCTTGAGGTTAGCAGATGGGGGTGGGGTCACAGACCACGCTGAGTGACACTCTGCAGCATGCCTACAACCCATACAGTGCTGGGAGAAACACCTTTATGTTAGTCTACTTAGTGCCAGCTTTGAGTGTTTTCAGAAGTATTTGTTGGGGTTGGAGAGATGGCTCAGCAGTTAGGAGCTGCTCTCCCACCGGGCAGTGGTGGTGCACGCCTTTGATTCCAGCACTCAGGAAGCAGAGGCAGGTGGGTCTGAGGCCAGCCTGATCCAGGACAGCCAGGCTATTTGCCTTGAAAAAACAAAATAAAAAAAGAACTGCTCTCCCAGAAGACCTGGGTTCAATGCCCAGCTCCCATATGGTAGCTCATCACTATCTGTAACTCCAGTTTCAGGGCATCTGATACCCTCTTCTGGCTCTAGGCCCCAGGCATGCACGTGGTGCACATACATGCCGTACACCTTTAGTCCTAGCATTTGGGAGGCAGAGGCAGGCAGATCTTGAGTTCAAGTGGTCTAGAGAACCAGAGAGCAAAGACTACACAGAGAAACCCTGTCTCAAAGAATAATTAATTAATTAAAAAAACAATTTGTTGAAGGATAGCAGTATATATACCATTTTTATAAATGAGAAAATTATTTAAGAGTTATGCTTCTTTTATATCACACAACTTGCTCAGAGAGCTAGAATTAGATCCTTGATTCCCAGCTCCTTGTTGAAGATGACATTGTGACATCATGGTGACACAATACACTGGAAACAACTAGGCAGACACAGCGCCGTGTATGTGAACAGAACAGGGTGCAATGTAATTTGACATCAGAGCTTGGGGGTCAGTCAGTTCTTGACTTGTTACTTGCTACATGGAGTTGGGCCTATATATAACTTCTCTGAAACTTGTTTAAAAGTTTGGGGAAAATAAGAACCCCTCATGGGCTAGGGGCTAAATGCATGCTATAATCTGAATGTTTATATCATACATGCTGTTCTTAGGCTACCACACGTAGCTCAAGATACATTTTTTTTGGGGGGGTCACCGTTTCTCTGTGTAGTCTTGGCTGTCCTGGAACTCATTCTGTAGATCAGGCTGGCCTCAAACTCACAGAGACGTTCCTCCTCTGACTCTCTGATTACTGGGATTAAAGGCATGTGCCACTACCACTTGGCAGCTCAAGTTTTTGGAACTGTCAAGATATCTCAGGTAAAAGCGCTTGCTTTCTTTTTTTTTTTTCTTTTTTTTTATTGAGAATAAGAAAAAAAAAGTTTCCGCCTCCTCCCAGCCTCCCATTTCCCCCCCCCTCCCCCCCCCAGAAAAAAAAAGTTTCCGCCTCCTCCCAGCCTCCCATTTCCCTCCCCCTCCCCCC